AAACTTCTCTTGCTATGTTAAAAAAAACATCATGTTGAAAACTGATCATTTAATGATCTTTTTCCTCAAGATGATTTCAACTGTTTCAGTTGTGCAATATAAATACACAGAAACAGCAAACAGAGAAACGAATGGTAAAGAGTGAAGGGTCAAGAGCCCAAATAAAGCTGCCACTAATCACGATTCTGGTGACATCAAAACAAACATTCAATGAATCGTCAACACAAAACCTGGTAATTCTCAATAAGTGTTTCTGTAGATGTCTGACAGAAATAAATTGTTTGTTATAATAGATTAGTTATCAATAACAAGTGAAATCAGCATTTGAAAAAACATTGAAACCGAGGCATGATGTGATTGGCTGCCAAAAACACTCATTAATCTGAAGTTTTTTTTATGAATTAAGAGTTTATTTATTTATTGTAATGTATTGTTTCGTTTATTTTAGAGCTTGTTATGGGATACCATATAAAATATACTACCTCTAATTATGTTCTTAAACACAAACTTCCCTCCACCCATTAAAATTCTATCCAGTTACATTTTAACACACATTGTGTGTTAAAAACTACACAACTTGTGTCAAAATACCATCAACACATGATGTGTGTTGTTTTTTAACACATCTTTTTTTAGAGTGTTAAAACCCTTTTTTTCAATGTCCTTGTTATTTATCTTGTCTATTGTTCAGCACTTTGGTCAGGCTTGTTTGCTGTTTTTAAATGTACTATATAAATAAGTGCAAACTTGAAACTTGAAACTTAATCTGAGTGAGAAGCTTTGCTGCATAATATACTGTAAAGAGCTGCTTTCTCTTTATCAGTCAAACCAGGCCTTCACTCTGCCATAAATGGCCATTTCTATTGCATATCTGCATGAATACCAATATTGTATTGAAGAAAAAAGGATTTTTGATTCAGAATTGACTCTCATAATGTGGGAATCAGATATCCCTCACTTTACTGCATACTAAAGATACTAACAGGAGATGGAGAGGCATATGCATGCACACATTACTGTTCACACGTTTACTGGGCTGAGAACACAACCACGGTCACAGTCTGAGGCAATTGATCTCTCAGTGCTCTGGGAAATCAAACTTGGGTAAAAGTGTTTGTTACTGCAAGCATAGACAAAAAGAAAAATATTTTTCTGATTCCATGAAATAAATGATTTAGTATTTTCTTGTGGTGAGAATAAAAGTGCATGCTTTTTGTAACTGTGATCAAAACTACAATTTCTAAAGACAAAGAGCAATCAAGACAATCAAGGAAAAATCAGATCAATGCGTGTTTCTTTTGGTTGTTGCTCAGATACAGTATTCAGATGCATTGAAAAATGAAGAAATTCATTTTACAAAACTGAAGAAAAATAATTTTTGTGATAAATCACCCAAAAATGAACATTCTGTTATCATTCATTCACCCTCTTGCTACTTTTCATTCATCCAAACCTGTAAGACTTTTTCTTTCTTTCAGAATAATACCTTTGAGTTTTGAAGAAGAAAGTCGTCATACTGCACATACAGGTTTGAAACAACATAGATTTTCACTTTTGATCTATCCCTTTAAAATCTATGGGTCTTTATGCCCCATATGTGTGGTTGTGTATTACATGGTGTTTACAGTATAGTAGCTAAAAATTTAGACTCTTTAGGCAAGCAGGGCTACAGCCTAAAAATACCCCATACACCATATGTCATTTCTCTGCGCCAAATGTTGCTGGATTAGCCCAGTCTCATTCATTCAGCTGTGCAGGGGCATGAGAAAATGCTTGATATAAAACAGTGTTGTAAATAAATACTGGCCAGAGTCAGACTAAATAACACTCACCTTGCAGAAATCAGTAGGGCCTATCAGACTCTATTAAACAAACTATAGCATAAGAATATTCAATGCAAAACATTTCCAATTATGTCTAAATCATTGATGCATATCCTGAAAGCAAAATTAACTTAAAAAAATATATATTTTAATCACATGCGGGATTCCAAAATCCATCTTAAAGGGATAGTGCACCATTTAAAAAAAAATCATTCGAAAAAAATAATTATCCACTCCCTTTGTTCACAATAAAAGTCAATAGAGTTCAAAATAGTGGACCAAAATGTTTTATTCCACGGAAGAAAAAGAAAGTCATACAGTTTGGAATGAAATGAGGATGATTAAATTAAATGATGACAGAAATAAAAATTTTGGGTGAACTCTACCTTTAAATACATCCTTACAATAATAAAGGACATTACTGTAATGCAAAAAAAAGTGCTACACAAGACGGCAAAGAAAAATGTACTTTGTTAAATAGAGTTAACAATATGTCTAAAACCATATTCTAACACTAACCTCATAAACTCAGAACTAATGACTATATGTAACTGCTTCAGCTGACTGGCTAATCACTCTGTAACATTTTACCTTACCATGAGAGTTCTGCAGTTTTACTGTGTCTCTGCCAGCATTGCAAGAAACATCTCTCTTGCTCTTGTCGATCAGTCCGTCAAACAGATTGCTCCTCTGTGGACTGGGCTTAGAGGCTAATCATTGCGCTTTAGCTCGTCTGTCCTGCTGGATCTGCTTCCAGTGACCCAATTCAAAGGATTTAAAACTGCCAGCATGCATCCACGCCACAAAGCAAAGCTCCAGTGAGGCCGCAGCTGAGCTAGGGACAGAGTGCATGAAGGTCTGATATATTAACTATGAGATCATGTAAGATCACTTTAAACTGCAATTTATAGTGAGATAATAAGATGTGCTTTTGGGAAGCTTTGTGTTTCATCTCATAGCCTACGCACTTGCCAAACTTGCATCTTAAAACCTTAATACTGATGCTAAACCATTACAAGACCTTGGTGTGGAGCTAAATCAAATGTATGGATTGTCCACCACAAATAAACTTGATTGATTTATAGCTGCCGAGAACTTGAACATGCATTTGGCCTAAGGCTGGTCCAGGAGCGTAGTACCTTTTTCTCCGTTAGTTGCTATGCCTCAAATTAATTGTTCATTTTTTATCGGCTGGGGTTACGTGGGTGGTAAACTGTATGGGTTTAGATTAATCGGTTCATCTCAAATAAGCATGCTTATTAAATTCATCATGAGCATTTCATTATTTTGAGGGATAATTGCAGCCTTTATGTGTGTGAAACAGTCACACCGCTTTTTCTCTTCCCTTTGAGCTACATCTGTGTTCCAGGTAAACTTGTAATATATTTAAAGAAAAAAAAGATTTATTTATAGATGGATGGATGGATGGTTGGATGGATGGATGGATGGATGGATGGATGGATGGATGGATGGGTGGGTGGGTGGATGGATGTATAGATAGGGGTGTAGGGGTGGGGGTGATAGATTCTAATAGGGGTGTAAATCAGGCGTTTCATCACGATATGATGTATCATAATAGAATATTTGCATATACCTCAAAACAAACATGCCATACTATAACGATTTACGATCAGGGGCCGGTGATCAAAATATCGATATCTGTCTCTATAGATTTCTGAGAGAGAAGAACAGGCCTAGTAAACCCACCAGGATAACAAGCAAGAATTGAACCCCCTCGATTCAGAAAGATTGTCTTTAATGTGCGCTCAAGGCTGTGTCCGAAATCACCCCCTATATTCTTAGTTGATACTGAGAGGCCAGCTGTAATGGACAGTACATTATCAAGGGCACCCATTCAATCCCAAAATGCACCTCAGTAAAGAGTGCACAGCCAAATTTAATAAACAGATGGCTGTTGAATAATACCCAAGCACTATGAGCCTTTGTGCCAAATGAATTTCTGCTTCTTCTCGCAGACTCACACCACTCAAATTTAGGCTAAGTATGTACAAAACTTTTTAATAAGCAAAAAAATACTATGGTGCACCTTTAAACCCAATTAAACTATTAACAATGGTGAAGAGGTTTTAAAAGGATTTAAACACTATTATAGGCTACTACTGTTACTTACAGTGTAAAAGCATAGAATAGTGTTTAGACTTTTCTCGTTAATCACGTTCAAGCATCCTATTGTTGCCTCTGGTGCAATAGCTTACTAAAAACTGATGCACTTCTGCAAATTAGTCTCCGTATTGCTGCATTAGATTCCATTATGAGCGCAGCCTACATCATGTTCCGCAACAAGACTGCCATAAGAGTCATGCATTGGCTCTATACGATGCTATATTATTATACTAATGCATTATGCACCCAATACGACGTCAGCAGAGCGCGGGTCCTCTTTCTCAATGTTCATGTTGCACAACCAAATCTTTAGCCCGTTTTGTCACTAAATTCTCCTAGTAATTCCATTAATAAAAGGCTTTTTAATGATGCAGAGTGACATGAATATACAATGAATATACATAGGCTTGCCTATGTTTCCCACTAAATGGATGACTGACCCTGTGCATGTGCTGGTTTACTGTTTGTCGCACACAAACCTACATTTCAAATATTGAAAATGTATATGCTGCATATATGCTGCATATGCAAGCTCAAGGGCGTGTAAATGGAAATCCCCACGGTACAAAAGGCTACGCATGTATATCTTATTTGTATAACCACGGTGCCGAATGTTGGACACAGGAGTAAACTAAGAGTTCAGCATCGCCATATCATACGCAGCCCGTTTCATTCATAAGAAGATAGGCTACTCTCCATAGCACTCGTGGTGCGGTCATTCGCGTGTCTTCTTTGACGGATAGCTATATGGTGGCAAAACGCGTATTGTTCAGAAACATAGTTAATTCTTAACATTTTTCGTTTTAATTACTATTTGTTATCAAAGAAAAAGAAGCCAGAGTTGTCATTGCCGCTAACACATGATGTCCATCCAAAACAGAAAATGCTGCAAGTGTTCAGCAGTCAAAGTCTAACTGAAATCTCTACTGCTTGTCCGGATTGCTTATGTTGTGCAATAAAGAAAAGATGGGGGAAAAGACACAATATAGCCTATCAAAGGCGCTAAATAAATTAATTGATTTCATACGTCGGCGCGCGATTCGACTCACCTACCTGAACTTAACGTAGCCTATCCCGCGTGACCGATCTTTGACTGACAGCACAGATGAATGGCAGACTACGCTAATAAGGTACTAAAGCATTTTAGACTTATAATGAAGACGCGATAGAGTCCAATCTCAACGGCAGTCCTCTCTCACCACTTGCCTCTCTCTCCATCTCCCTCTCTCTCTATCGCACTCACTCATACACACGGGCGCGCGCGCACTCCTCCTCAGAATCACCATGGCTTCAGATAGAAGGTGGGAGATTTTTATCATCATTGCCTACAGGAGGTGGACAAATTGTTGCTCCTACTAATGCAGCCTCTCAATTTACTGAATTATGATGAATCCATTCAGTACAATAATAGGCCTATATGAAATTATTTAAATATAGGCTAAAGCACTGAAACTTGAAATGTCATTTAAATGTGAGTTTCATATTATAAAGATACATTTAACAAAATCCACTAATATAACAAAGTCAAAACACAAAAACTATATAATACAATGTAAGGAAATGTTAAATAGCCTATAGCCGAAATAAAACACATTTAAAAATATAATTAAAGAAAAGTTTTTAAAAAATTATTTAAACACTTAAAATGTATTTTTTTTATAAATTATACAGTAGCTAAATTAAACACAAGGAGGGTGCACATATCACTATAAAATAAAAAACATTCTTGACAAAGCATTCTTGACAAAAGCATGGGGTTTCTTTGAAATTTTAAAGCTGTCTCAAATACTGTGTCAAATGATTTCTCAAGTGCTTTTAAATGCATGCTTATATAGGTTCTCCATGAGGGTTCAATGAGCATGGCAATCTAAGGAAACACCAAATGGTGCCTCAGGCACTTTCTCATTGTTACAGTGTTTTGTGCACCATCTCTAGCCTGTGGCTAACAAAGCATGCAGACATAAAAGTGTAAAAGCGTCTTTGTCCCCGTGTTTGAATCTTTTTTGTAGAATCTTAACAGGTATGGCGTAGAGTCCGTAGAGGATATTCAGTTTTCTCCGTCTGGCAACCAAGGTCTAGGAAGGGTGGTCCATCTTAATCTCAGCTTTATATAATAACCCTTCACAAGGCACACTCATAACTTGTATACTGTATAAGTCTGTATAACATTGGTATCAAACAGCACAATTACAGCAAACAAAGGCATGGAATAGGCTAAGTCAAGAACATTAGAATTAAATGTGTGTATAAAAACATTAACCATTCATTAAACATGCAAATCTTTTTCTGTGGAGGGATGTAGGCGGTAGACAACCAAATCCAAACACAAAAGACAGGCTGGGTTGTGCAGTTTGATGATAATAGCTTGCTGGAAGCAGGAGGCCAGGCGGCAAACCACGTGTGGATATTAGTCACCTCATAACAATGTCTGTATATTCAATATTCTCCACTCCTTTTATTTCTTTCCCTTGCAAATGAAAAGAAATTAAATTATAAAAACTCATGTCAAGTACCAGCAACAAGCAAACTGAAAATTAGGTTAGGATGATTTAAGTGAGCTGTTTGTTTCTTTGAAACATATACATTTATTTTCAATGATGTTTTTTTGTCCAATGGGTAAAGATAATTTGATGTATTTGTGTTTCTCTCTCTACAAATGCAGTATAATGTTATTAAAGTGCCCGATTAGGCTACTTGTTGGTTTGTTTTGTCGGATTACATCAGACATCACATTAAATCAGTAGAGCTGTCTGTCCCCCTCTACCTGTAAGAATCAGTATTACACGGTCAAATAAAACGCTCGATATTAAATTCAGAAAGAGCAAAAGTAGACTTTATTGTCAACACTAATAAATATATAACCTTTCCATGTATTTCAGACCAAATTCATACAATCTTGTGTGAATTTATTTGCCAATTGCATCCAGGCGGTGCTTATTCATCAGACATACGGCATTAAATTTTTGGAGTCACCATCATTTGGCCCATTCTTAAGCTATTAAAAAAGAAAAGAAAATTGTTTAAGATAGACCCACTGTCCTCGCATGAGGACATCCTTTTATAGAAAACCTACTTCCTGTACAAACACCAGTTTTTGTTATTATACTTATTAGGTCCTACTTATCCCAAATAGCAAGAACAATTATAAAATGCACACCAGGTAAACTCCCGTGTCTCAGGAGGTTAAATGGAAACTGTCAGTATTAGTGCTTCAACAGATTGAGGTCAATGCAGACCCAAATCTCTGTGAACTCAGATCTACAGTTTGCTTAGAGTAGGCCTACTCACAGGTGCACTGAGACCGCTTTCATACCATTCACATAGTCCTCGTGCAATACAGGTAACCTGAGAATGCTGTTCCGCTATAGCTCAGCTTTTAACATGAATAAACAATCAGATAGGGATTCACACACCCTTGTTTACTTCTTTCTGAGTCCCCGTGGTATACTTGAATTCCCACTTGCACTACAACTGTTGCCTTCCCTGAACAAATATTACACATACTCATTGCCCAATTAAACAACATTGCACACACTCTGTTATGGCAAATACTTAACCTCTGTATTTGCACACTCTACACTTGCACCATTAATATGAAAGTGCACATACTATTTGCATTTTTTATATATAAAATATAACATGTATATAAATATATAGGCTATTAAATTTGTGTACATTTACTGTAGATCTTTTGTTTTCATTAATGCCACCAAGGAAACATTAAGATCTTTATGCTTTGCATTCTATTTCTTAAAAAACAAAAATACTAGTAATGGCAAACAGACTCATTGTATAGTAAGATACAATCAACATCTCAAGCTAATTATTGAATTAATTTGGTTATCACATACAGAATATGATAAATATATACATGTATTTATTTTCTTATGTAGCATGAATAGTATGAAAGTACAGTATTTCAAGCACCGCAAATGTTACTAAAGGGAAGGGTGCAGACTCATTTAAACAATTAGATCAAGATTGTAAACAATTGTAAAAAAGGCTACACAAATGACAAAGTAAATTCTTATTGACAATAATTGACAACCCTGACAGTGCTGTTGCACTAAAAACATCACAAGTACATACAAATTATATACTTCCATTATCTCCCGTTATAAAGAATGACTCATGAAGCCTGGCCTGTTTTTGTTCACTGATAGCCTATTTGCAGCTTGAGGAGGTAATTAGTCTTCTCAAGTTCAGCATACTGAAAGGGTGTAAAATGGCTTTATATTTCTCTGTACACTATGGGGAAAAAAAAACATAAAATAACAGCTTTGTTGCATAACATCTTAATATCCCCATGTATAATGTTTTAATGCCCTATAACTCTAAAATAGTGTTATTTCTGGGTAAATCTGGAGATACTGTGTCTCTAAACAGCCGTACTGGTTTATGGTGTTCATTTTTTAGGTCTCATTTTCTGATCTCAAACCCACAATACTACAAGTATAAATTTCTCTAGCAGTAATGTACAAAAATCAACCCCGCACCCCTGTAGTTACGTCTCAAACTCTCATGACATCTTGGATTCATGACCCTCAATCTGCACGATGAACCAAACCAGAGCTGCATCTGAAATCGCAAACGGCTCATTTAGTAGCCGAAAAGCAGTATGTCACAAAAGTTGTATGTCTGAATTCACATTAAGAGTAGGCAAAAAACACGAATGACCTACTTCTTCCAGCGAGATTCTGAAGTGTGCACACTATACAACGTCCCACGAGGCCACTGGAGAGGATTTGTGAATGACAGTGAAGCGACGCAGATGATTTAGGTAGGTCACATAAGGGCAACATGCCGAATGTAGTATGTCCAGATTACATTAAAACTATATAGAACATACTTTAGCAGTCAAAAAGTAATTACTTATTCGAAATAAGTACCTAGTCAAGAGATCATACGATTTCAGACGCAGCCAAGGTGCCGTAGAAAGTAGGGGTTGACAAGGTTGACAAATACATCAATGAAGCCATCAGTGGGCCACCTCGACTCAAACACAAAACTGACCCTACAAGCCACAACTTCAGAAGTCTAAAGTTCAAGGTCACAATTTAAAATATCTGCACCTCAGCATCAACCTAGAATCACATACATACAATGACCTTGATCTTACAGAAAGGGAAATATGATGCATGGTATTTGACAAATTTAGTTATCCATGTGACCCCCAGAGCTAGACAACATACTGTAGCAAATACACCATCATACATCAACATATGTTGGTCATGCCTGAAACTACTACACTGAAAAAGACAAACTTATGAAGACAAGCCTATTTAACTTTTCCTGAGACAAAACAGAAGCAACTTAAAGTTCAACTTTAATATTTGGTGAAAAAAAAAAAATGAAGACTACGGATATAAATTTGGAGAACATGATTTCTATTTAGGCATAGCTCATTCCAGTTTTATTTATTAAAAGACAGTGACTTAAACATTTTCTTACAAATTGCTAAAATAATATAGGATGAACACAAAATTGTATCCCAAGAACGTTTGTAGACCATTTGAGAAATTTAAGAACATTTAAGGGCCATCTTGGGATGATTGCACTGCCTGGCTCAGATGCAGTAAAGATGAATCATTTCAGTGACTTAATAAATTAAACAAATGTAAACACAGGGATCCTGGTAAAATGATTCTTCATATCCCCACCTTCAAATCACTTATTCTTATCACTGTTCAGCAATGTCAAGCCTGTTGGAAAAAGGCAAGGGAAAACAAACCTGAAATTGGACCATACAGATTGCTGACAAAGCCCAAATATTGATTAGCTTACACCAAGTGAACGAATTACATAAGACACAAGCACTAATTTAATAACAGACTAAATATGGATTTCTGAGGACAGTGTTATTGTTTACCTTCCTTTGCCACGCTCTCTGCTGCACTCTTGGCCTTGCCACTCAAATCACTGACAACGTTGTCAAATGCTGCTTCATGCTTGAGGAAGAAAGGTCTCACCACACGTGTGTATATGATCTGAGAGCCATTCCATGAGAACGGAGCCATGCACCACAGCAGAAACAGGCACTGAAATATGAAAAACGCAATCCTTTTATTTACAGCTCTGCCTGTGACAGTAAAAACATTTATAATGTTAAGAGAGATTTCAAATGCTGTCCTTTTGAACATTTATCAAAAGAAAAATGTTAGTCAAGTACCAAATCAGTATATTAGAATGATTTCAGAAGGACACTGAAGACTGTAATATGAAAATTCAGCTTTGCCATAACAGGAATAAGTTACATTTTAAAATAGAAAACAATAACTGTAAATTGTAATATTTCATATCACTATCTTACTGTATTTAGGTACAATAAAGGAAATCTTACCAACCCCAAACTACAATGCCCTAAAATGTGGTAACATTTGAATTAAAAATTGAGTTTTAAAGTAAGAACTGAACATTCCTTGTGGTTTACATCAACACAGCTGTTTATCAACAATTTAACCCTTGGTCTTGACAAAACTCAGCAACCTCAAACTAATCCATACATTGATTTAACATCTAACCAGTAACTCTTTACACTAAGCTATGTTTTTGTTAACATTACATTATGCATGGACTAAATGTATTAATCTATGTTAACGTTAGTTAATAAAAATGTCAATTTTCATTTTAGTTCATAGTGCATTAAATACTAACAGATACAGCTTTTTATCTTAAATTGTATTAGTAAATGCTGAGATTAACATTGAGATTAGTAAATGCTGCAGAAGTATTGTTGATTGTTAGTTAATGTTAACTTATGCAGTTACTTAATGTTAACAAATGAAACCTTACTATTACTCATATAAAGTGTTACCCATCTCACCACATCCATATCAATCTATTCAAATTCATTAGACAGGTCATGTCATAGTGCACATCTCATTAAAAAAATATTAATCCGTATATCATGAGTTGTTATCCATATTATGCAAGACCTCAGTTCAACTTAGTCAGCTGCTATTCATTTGTATAAATTGGCTATAAAGCACTCAGTCAAATTTAGAACAAGGATCAAAATTGAAATGAGGCTGTTGGTCAAATTGGCAGATAGTCATGCATGCTAAATATACACTATGCAAAACCTCTCAGCATGACCTACATACCATTACATTTACAGTTCTCCTACAGAAACCTAACATACAACAAGGTGGATGGTTTCTAAAACAGATCTCCAACAGGCAAATACAATCAAAGCATAAATTAAATATATATTGATACTGAAAGACCATACCTTCCCGGCATAGTAAAAGGGAAACCAGAAGAGGAAGATATCAGAGAAAAATTCAGCCACGCTAAAGAGTCCGTAAACCACCCAGTATGTTAGCCATTTGGTGTCGTCTTCTTTATTGTTACTCTCTATGGCTTTGATGCTGCATGAGGAACAAAAGGAAAACAGGCAAATTCAGCGTGGGTTCCTCTCATCGTGCTGTGGAAACATATATGTGTGTGTGTGTGTGTAAAATCTAAAATCTTTACCACTAAGCTTACTGCATTTGTGAAATTGTATGCCACCATACTTACGAGACATATGCAGGGTATACAAAACCAATTAAGTTGCAGAGGAGAGAGGCACCATATCCAAATATCAAATAAAGTCCCACAATACACACTGCACCTGCAGAACAAACAGAGACACGTGATCACTGCCTATATTCAAATGAAGAACAGCCTTTAGGAGCACTGATGACTTTGCATTTGGGCTCATTGTTGACACCTAACAGACAGGATCAAGGAACAAGAACAAACAAACACATATTGTTTATATGTGAATGAATGTAAGAGATATTGTCCCCAATCAGGCTATGTAGTCTAGCCACAGCAGTGAACACAGCAGCTAATTCTGCAGTGACACTTGAAGACTTGTTTAAAAATAACCCTAGGGAGTGGAAGAAGAAATTAGACCCAGGGATGTCTTAAAAGAAACAGCCACACATGATTAGAAGGACATTTCAGGTAACCAGTCAATGTATTTGAACCACTGGACCCACTAACGGATCTGAAAACTGCACTTTATATATCATCTGTTTGAGGTTTCACATTCAGTTAAAACAAAGACAATTAACTGATAAACTGATGTGAATGCACCAGGGATAGAACAGATAACCCTCGGGGAAAGCTGTGCGTGCAGCATCTGTTTTTGCCACACACACACACTTGTACATCTAGCTTTGTGAGGACATTCATTGACAATGCAAACTCTAGCTCCTTACCCTAACCCTATAACATAGCGCATAACCCAAACCCTTACCCTAACAGCAGACCCATAACTGTAGGCTAAGTAGCCTTCATACAGTTATCAGTAGGATATGATGACTCCCAAAGCTTATATTGCACTCGATCTTTTGCAACATTCAACAAACACTTGACATATGGATCACAGCAACTTTACTTGTTAAAACAATCAACACGCTTTTCTAAATAAAATCCATTTTCGACGACGATAATGGATACCAAGGACTTTAAACTCACGGAAGTCCATCAAAGTCTGACAGCTGGCTAAAGTTTGAATAATGGAGGCTAGGCTTAGGCTACTATCAATGACTAAATAATTAACGTTAAAGCTGCTTCCAAAAGAATGATTACAACCAGTCACGTACCTGTTGCAATGTACTGTTTCTGAACTCCGGTTTTTTTCTCTAAAACAGATAGAAAATCCGTTACCACGTTATTCTGCTTAAAAAATGCTTCGTAACGTTCCGTAATAGTGTTCATCATTTTGTCCCTCCTAGGCTACAGCAGACCGTGACCAAGACCCGAATTGTAAACAGTTTTCCAAGCCAAGCAAACTAACTTAGGCAAAGTTTGTCCCTCGAGTCTCAGCCAGCAGCTGCACGGGACTTAACCGACAGGCACTGCGTACAACTAGACAACCAATCGAATCTAATAAAAATATATGATTCCACCTCCCTCACAGCTGATTACGATTCTGCTGAAATGCTGACTATGCGCCTTTGACTGGGAGGACGGTACATTGAACGAGGCGTGTTGGGGAGTAAGTATCTGTTTCAGGAGAATAAAATGTACTCCCTTAACGTACCATTTTCCTTACTATCTTCATTTTACCCCCTAAAAGCAGCATTAGTTGTAGGCCTAAGCAAATTAGCAGGCCTGTAATGCAGAGTTTCTATATTTAAAATTGTTTAATGAGTTTTTACGCTAAAACTCAAAACTTAAGGTTCCCTAAGTCGTCATCACGTATCAACTATAAAAATAATCATTATAATAAAACACTCACAGAAAACGCACACAGAGGTTCTTGCATTTTTACGTTTGAGTGTTTGTTTGTATGAAATATCACGTTGATTTTACTCATTTCAAAACTCAGGAAATTCAACCTCGCATACACTGGTCTTAGCTATTTAATTCAAACATCTGACTGGCATTTTTAAATGTACCAGAGGAGGGCACTGTTCTCTTCGGTAGGTTACTTTCGCCATTCAACTCAACACTTTTTTCTTTTCTTTTCTTTTTTTAAACACACTATAAGGCTATTTACAAAAACAATTTACAACATCTCTCGTTGGGAGACTCATGTGCATAACATAAACAATTAAATTGAACAAAATGCAATATAATTTTTTTTTTACAAATAAATATAAAATAAAGTAAATTAAGCAAAGGCATTTCAGTTTAAAAGGCATGTCAAAGTTATTCATATATATTGTCCTCAGTCATAATCATAAAAAAAAGTTACATGGAAGCTTTAAAGAGATTATAATGACAAATATTTTGAGACGTCTTCACATAGAGAGTAAATGCTATCACTGGAGTCTCAAAGAAGCATTTCCTCAGTTCAATTTTAAACACTAATATGGATGGATTTTTATTTTTCCATTTTCATTTATGAATATGGTATTTACTCATAATTGTTGATAGCCTATTGTAAATTCTAAAAATTCCTTCTGACAAAAGTACAAAGAAAAGATTTTCTACGTTCTCACCTAACCAGTTCCCCTGTTAATTTTGGACTGTTTAACTTGGATATTCTATAATCTTTTAACTTTTATTTTGTCTCTGTCCCAACTTGCAGTGTTATGTAGCCATCAAAATTAGTTTATATTTACAAAATACAATTAATTTGGCCAGTGAAAACATTGGACATTTTTTTCTTTGTACTTTTGTCAGTTAAATAAAGATTAAAGAGAATTAACTTTTTTTTTTTTCTGGAATTGGGGTTGTAGGCATTCATTGCATAAATAATTTAACTGATTTATTTTTTGTTTTTCGGTCCTGCAGTTATCCTCAACAAACTTTTCCATATACAGTAAACACTGTTTCCTCATGGTGATTTTAATTGTATTTTATTTAGCTGTCACACTTTTGTCATGGTCAAATCAGCATTAATCCATTTAACCCATTTAATATTGCAGGCCATTATTAAAACACCCCTGGTACACGCATGCACTCCTACGATTAGGTGAGCATTGGGTGTCTTAGTTAAATCTGTCTATCATGTTTCTGCTAACAGTGTCACTAAATGGGACAGGTACAGTATGTGTACCCTAACTCTTAAAAAGTCATCAAACCAAATTGCAACGGATAGAAATGCCATGGTGTGCCGTCAGAGGATGTGCTAATTGTCCAGAGGACTTAATCCTCTTTTCACAGAATTGCGGAAGACTTTACCTTATCATTAGCACAGCCATTGGCCATACTGTGTGAGAAACTGTCATGACATCCTGTTTAATATATCTCTCTATCTCTTCTAAAAAATTATGTGTTTGGTCTGGACAGAATTTATATATATTTGACTGAGTACCATAACATATGCGTGTTATAGTATAGACCATTTTACGAGATGTAAACAACACTGGTCCAGAAGCACTTCCTGTTTCAGTTTTTTAACACTACACAAAAGCTGGGATAAAATACAGCCAACGGAACATATAAAACTGAATCAAAAAGTTAAACACACATCTTTAAGATGTTTTCTTTACATTTGAAATAAAGAAACCATTTACAAACTGAAACAGGAAGTGTTTCTGGACAAGTGTTGTTTACATCTTGCAAAATGGTCTATATTGTTATTAGACATTTTGTATATATTTGCAGAATATATGAATGGCTTCTGTGGTTTTAGGCTGTGATTTACACATTATGTCTCAGTTTAGCTGAACTTGCCATGACTCTGCACCTGTATAATGATGGTAAGCTCTTCTTTTGGCCTTCAAGATGGGTAACAAAGCCTGGACAATTACACTGTAGGTCTCATCCTGAACTTCCACCTGCATAATAGTAAATCCTTCTTAGGCCTTCAACATAAGACAAACAGGCCATGCCACTGTTAGGAAGAAGCTAAAAGGTTTGATAAAAACAGTAGATGCCCTAATTAAAAGAGCTGGAAAGTACTCAACTTGAGCATACTGTTTGAGGATGAAAAGAAGTGACAGTGACCATTCACCCTGCAAAATGTTTTTTTTTTTTTTTTTTTTTTTTTAGATATTCTAGTTATATTTTTAATATAGACAAAAAATAAGGTACACTATAAACAGTGTTGGGAAATGTGTTGGTTGTATTTAAAAGTAATGCATAACCACATTGCATTACTCCCTTCTTGAATTACTTAGTTAATTAGAATGCAAAAAAAAAAACAAAAAACAATGGGTTACGTCAATTTTACGTTACTTTTTCTCACCTGGGCTGGACCTGCATGTTTTTAATGACAATATATATATGGGGACAAGAGAGCTGTCAGTCAATAAATGGGAAAACAAAGAAGTTTACTGAGGCAAAAATCACGTTGTGATGAAACAGAAGGATTTACACAGGTAAAGTAAATAACAGGTTTATTTGGAGAATTATGAGATCACAATGATGGAAGCAGGTAAGTAACTGAAGAATATTGTGTACTGGGTGGATATCTGGATGATAATGGATTTTATCTGATGCAGGTTCTGAAATGGGGATAGAGGCCGATGATGACTGAAGACGTCAGGTCATGTTCTCTGAGAAGAGTTATATAGTGCTGGATGATGATCAGTGAAGATTAGTCCTCTGTTGAGTTAATAGTTAGTTAATAGTGAGAATTAGACCCTAAACTAAAAGTGTGACCAATAATTTCAAGAAAGTAACAACAAAAACATTTAAAAAAAAAAAAAATTTAAAAAATAATTTATTCATCTGCTCAAAATGATCAGCTAATCACCCATCTTGTGCTTCATGCACCCGTGACTGATGTTGATGTCTGCGTAAGTTGGCAAATTGTAAGGCAAAGTGTTTTATGTTCATGTTTCATAAGTCTTTATTTAGAACATTTGTATCTAGCCTTTTTAAATTGTCTAAAAAAATCACCTTAGAATTACTATTTACTTTGTTCTGAGTTTGCATTTTAGATCTTGTTTTCCGTTAGGCCTAAGCTCTTTTACCTTTCAGAACCAAAACACACCTCCATTTCCAGGACTTGAGTCCTTCCAATGCCGTCTGGTCATTAAATCAATACCTGCTGGACACGCTGGTGTCGGAAATGCCTGCAAAGAGCACCCGCAGAAATCCCATTAAGGCATGACGTTCAAACTAATGTCCTTCATCTCCGAATAGCCTCCACGCATGTGTTCTTAGTCAAAGCAGTGCAGCCATAAAAAGCTGTCAAACTGAGAGATCATCCCTTTTCCATGTGAGCATATAGGAAAAGAATAAATTGGTAATTCAATACTTTTGAACTCATTCTTCTGAATTATTCTTACTGCATTTGGTTTGCACATTTATTGTTAAAATAAATTCAATAAAATAAATTCAAGCCCACTCAGAAATAATATAATTTGGATGGTTCTGTAGTTTATCTAGATAGACCTGCGTGTTACATCCAACTAATTTAATAAACTTAAAAAAAAAAAAAAAATTCACAAATCAATTTTATAAAACTATGTTATGTTTGTTTATCCTCATTTTGTACCACATGATTTTCTTCCCAAAATGCTAGTTAATGTTATCACATTTCACTAAAATGTACTCGGTTACCTAAAGTGACCTTGGTTCTCTCTAGAAGAGGGAACGAGTATTGCGTAAGTTGCTTACGCTACGGGTAAAGTAAATTTTTCTTGAGATATGAAGCCAAAAAATTATCCTTAATCCGCACCATTCCGAGTTCCTCCTCTGATTGTGCTAGAATCAGCCAATCGTCCAAATAGTTCAAAATTCGCATGCCCTGACTTCTCAGGTCCGAACAGCAGGACGGTGTACTGATGTACCTGACTGTCAAAGGCGAATGTCAAGAATGGCCTGTGATGGGGTATTATCTGAATCTGAAAGTATGCGTCTTTCAGGTCGAGGGAAAAAAAAAAACAGTCCCCGGGGGAAATTTGCGCAAGAAATTTGCGTCTGGTCGTGAGTATTTTAAATATTTTTCATTTTGAATCTTCTCATAAGAGCTTTGTTCAAATATCTCAAATCTGAAACTGCTCTGAAGACTCCGTTCTTCTTGGGTAAGAGGAAGTAATGGCTGACTTGCTCAAAAAAGGAGGTACTGGTTCTATGGACCCCTTGCAAAGAAGTTTCGCTATTTTGGCACGGAGTAGGTGTGCTACTTCACCAGTCACTCTGCATAGCCATGCTTTACTGTGCTCAGCACCCATTTCGACGCGTTTTTGCTTCCCTTTTGTTTCCCATGCTTTTGCATGCAGGGCTAGGGGCAGAATGGCCTCTGGGATCTGATCGCCCGGTACTGCGGGCTCGAGAACCTGATTCAGAGGAGTGGGTGCAGCGTGCGTGCACTCGGTGCTGGAATATGGTGGCTCGCCGACAGTGATGGCTAGCCGTTTTATACACAATGTCCCGGTGGCTTTGGACAGGGAGAATATTGTGCAAGGAAAACAGCCGGCGAGTGTCAGCCAGAGGTGCCTTTCTGTGACAGCCAGAGAGGACTGGGCAGCAGATTTAGTAGCGCGAAGGGAGAGATCCGTCCTGCTGAGCAAATCCATGCC